TCTCTCTCACTCTCCCGCCCCCTCGCCGCCGCTCGCTCAGGGTCAAGGACCCGCGCGCACCCGCCGCTTGTTGCACTGCAGGCCGACCGCGGGACGCCTTTATCAAACACTCACGACGGACCCGCGGCGTCTGTCTCGGAGTGACGAAAAAGGTAAACCCCCGCGGTATAATGGGGCGCGGTGCTGCACTGCATGAACAGGGCGGCGGCGGAGGAAGCGAGGGAACGAGGAAGAGGAGCGGTTGTGTTCCGCAAATCAGCAAACACAACCAACACCGCACGTAGGAAAATAAAAATCGAGCACAACTGTTTAATTTTGCACTTAACACTAATTGAAAAGGGACATTTTTGTCCCTTTACTTTTTTTGTGTGTAGATTCACTCCGAGTTAAGTGAGACGTATCACTGAGCGAAAAACAAATTAATTTGAACTCTCCGTTGTTTACTCTAATGTTAAGGCAAAACTTTCTTTTTAAACGGCAACGTTTCTGTGCACATCCAGACGGGATACAAATATGTTCCTATAAAATTGGTCAGATTATGTAAAACTTTACACCCTTCCTCCAGTTTTAGGCACGAATTCGTACCCGCGTTCTGGATGAACACAGAAACGTTGCCATTAAAGAACAACATTTTTCCTTTACATTTTACAGTGAGCCCGGCGGTTCTCTGTCCTGTAGTTTCACAGGGACGCTCGGTCACTTTTCCCAATGTGAAGGTCAGCAGCTGCGCCTGGTCCGAAGTGGGCCGCCCGCCCGTATGTACGATGCCCGCCGGTGCCACACACACACACACACACACACACGCACCTGCGCCAATCGCGCGGTATTTCTTTCTCTCTTACTTTCTCCGTCAAACAAAACACCACCGTGCATTTACCAGCGCCACGACGAACTCCCCCCCCCCCCCTTTTGGCCGGCGGAAAGGAAGGCGAAGATCGTGGCGTGGCGCAGCAGAGTGGCAATTTGATTTCCCTCTGTCTCTGTCGCCGCACTGACTCCTCTGACTACTACCCGCATGGACCAAGCCCCCTTCCCTCCCTCTCTCTCTCTCTCTCTCTCTCTCTCTCTCTCTGATATACGCACTCTCTACTCTCCGGCCTGCGGCGGCGGCGGGACCTGCTCTCGCGCGGCGCGCCCAAACAATTGGGCCAAGTTCATTACCAGCTCCCAAGGAAGTATCGCTCGTTTGGGCAGCGCATATGGTC